TATGATTATTTTATTGCATATTCACAAAATATCTCATCAAATTGTACTTTGCCTTTTTCGCCATGAAGGACATGCAGTGTCAACTCGGAGTTGCGAGCAGTTCAGTCAACAACGTTGCCCCGTGGTTGAAAGAAATGGGCAACTTGTACAACAAGTGCTTACATCTGTCAACTTTCCCACCCACTTGTATCGCAACTGCCACACAAAGTCTAGAAACAACACTGTGGGTGTATGTACCACACCACATCTCACAGGTCAGTCCAGAGGTCAATGCTGTCTTTGTTCGTTTGTTTATTTATTTATTTGTTTTATAAGAACAAAATAGGTTTATTTTGATAAACATTTAATAATAACAGTTTTGTTAACATCCTGATAGCCTCAACAGCATTATGAGGACCTGCAATCATATTATTATTGTTGTTGTTATTATATTATTATCATCATTCTGTAAATAATGTAAATTTAAATGCGTTTAAATGTCAAATAACTATGTATATATTGTAACGAACCAGTTTGCCACAATTTAAGTTATCTTGCAGAAAACGTAGAGGGCGCAGTAAGCTTTTGGGCGTAAGGGCTCAGAGCGCGATTACGGACGCACCATGCGTAAAGCAGCTCTCAGAGCGTCTCAAAAGCTATAAATAGCAGTGACCAGCAGATATTTCGGCACTTCGACGCCAGCTCTCGTCTTGGTCAGATAGCGAACTCTCCGCTTTGCTCCAGCTGAGCTAAAGTAAGGAAAATGACTGGAAGCTAGAAATAGAGTTCCTACAGTAGGCAATCCCTGCCTTGACTACTTGTTGAGATTAATACAGGTAATTAGTGTCGGTGTTATAACTATGATAACGTGTTGGAGAAGTTGACTTATGTTTGTATTAATAAAGTATACAGTTAAACAATCCATCGTTTCATACGTGTGATTAGTTGAGTCTCCATAGACTGATGTATATAACCCTCTCATAGAGAATACACATCCACCTATCCAAAACACCTCTCATCTCCACACTCATATACTTTGGGAAAACGGAGCCACGTCAGGGCCTCTAAACTACAAGCCAAATGGAAACCGCTCGCATTATTCAGGATGGCAAATTCTTCGTCAGATGACGGTGATAGAGGCAAGGGACAGGCCAGCCCTCCAGCATCCAGGACCCGTTCTAGGATGGAGGGCCGTAACAATATTATACATATGGGACTAACCTCGATTAGCATCATCATAATCATATTATTATTGTTGTTGTTATTATATTATTATCATCATTCTGTAAATAATGTAAATTTAAATGCGTTTAAATGTCAAATAACTATGTATATATTGTAACGAACCAGTTCGCCACAATTTAAGTTATCTTGCAGAAAACGTAGAGGGCGCAGTAAGCTTTTGGGCGTAAGGGCTCAGAGCGCGATTACGGACGCACCATGCGTAAAGCAGCTCTCAGAGCGTCTCAAAAGCTATAAATAGCAGTGACCAGCAGATATTTCGGCACTTCGATGCCAGCTCTCGTCTTGGTCAGATAGCGAACTCTCCGCTTTGCTCCAGCTGAGCTAAAGTAAGGAAAATGACTGGAAGCTAGAAATAGAGTTCCTACAGTAGGCAATCCCTGCCTTGACTACTTGTTGAGATTAATACAGGTAATTGGTGTCGGTGTTATAATTATGATAACGTGTTGGAGAAGTTGACTTATGTTTGTATTAATAAAGTATACAGTTAAACAATCCATCGTTTCATACGTGTGATTAGTTGAGTCTCCATAGACTGATGTATATAACCCTCTCATAGAGAATACACATCCACCTATCCAAAACACCTCTCATCTCCACACTCATATACTTTGGGAAAACGGAGCCACGTCAGGGCCTCTAAACTACAAGCCAAATAGAAACCGCTCGCATTATTCAGGATGGCAAATTCTTCGTCAGATGACGGTGATAGAGGCAAGGGACAGGACAGCCCTCCAGCATCCAGGACCCGTTCTAGGATGGAGGGCCGTAACAATATTATACATATGGGACTAACCTCGATTAGCATTAAACTTTTGTTAATTCCTTTTACCAAAAATATAGCTACGTGTGCAGCATATATCTATTCGCCCAGTGGCGGATTCAGGGGGGGGGGTGGCGGGGGGCCCGCCCCCCTGGGAAAAAAAAAGAAGGGGAAAAAAGAAGGGAAAAAAAAGGGGGAAAGACTTTTTATTTTTTTGAAAAAAGTGTTCCCCCCCCCCCCCAGCCACTGAACGAAATATCTGACGACGTAATTTTTCGAATTTCTGGGGCCCCAAACAAAATCTGCTCTCCACCCCCCCCCCCCCTCCGCAAAGAGAGAGAGAGAGAGAGAGAGAGAAGAGGAAGAAGAAAGGAAAAGGGGAAGAAGGAGTTCGGGGGTGGGCCTTGTCTCTCAGGCTGTTGCCTCCCCCCCCCCCACCCAATCAAAAAAATAAGAGAGAAGAAAGGAGATGGAAAGAAAAAAGGAAAAGAGAGATAAAGGAAACGAAAATTGAGGAAGAAGAAGAGAAAAGAAGGGGCCGGGTATCAGTTGCAAATTTTCCGCCAATAAGTTGTGGATCGGGGTGGGGTGGGGTAAAAGGCCCTTGCCTCCCCCCGCCCCAGCTAAAAAAAAAAAGAGAAGGAAGGAAAAGGAAAATAGGAGAGCTAAAAGGGACCGAAAAAGAGGAAGAAGAAAAAAAAATTAAAAGAAGGGGAAATAGATCATTTGCGGTTAATCCCGCCAACAACGTGTGGAGAAGCATGGGGGCCGAAAGAACCTTGCCTCCCCCACCCTCCCCCCCCCCCCCCCCCACCCCCAGCAAACCTAAAAAAGTAAGGGAAGGGAAAGGGAAAGAGGAGAGAAAGGGAAAGAAGAAAGGTTGGGGAGATCAGTTGCGATTTGTTGTGATCGGGGAGGGGGCTCGGGGCAAATAAATTTAGACGTGGTTTAATTCTAATTCCATAACGGTGGTTTACACATTATATAATTTTTTCTCATTTTTTAGTAAATTATATTTTGTATGCGTTTGTTTGTAAAATGACAAATTCCTAAATTTAAAGCCAGGCAAGAAATATGCTTCTTGAGATGCCTACATGTCAGGGCCCGCAGAACGGCGGGGATCTGGAGCCTCCAGCTCCCCCCTCCCCCACATACACCTTTTTTGAAGAAGGAGTATATTCAAGAGAAATATAAAGAAAGAGAGCAAGAAAGAAAGAATAGTTAACTGCCAGTGTCACAACAAAATAAGGTATCAAAAAATGCTCATCTGACCGTAATTAAACGCCTAAAACCCCTGCGCTTCCGGGGGTTCTGCCCCCTGGACCTCGCCTAGGGCCCTAAGGCGGACCACTGGATGCTAATCAGACGGTAACTTAATGCCTAAAAACCCTGAGCATCAGGGGGGTTCCGCCCGCTGGACCTTACGCCAATCAGTTTCCTGCCTGTGTCACAAATAAGGTATACAAATATGTTCATCTGACCGTAATCATTTATTAATGCCTAAAACCCCTGAGATTCAAGGGTTTCCGCACCCTCGACCCCACCAGGGCACTAAGGCGGGCCCCTGCATGCGTATCTGACAGTAATTTATTGCCTTAAACCCCTGAGTTTCCGGGGGCGGACAAGGTATCAAAATATGTTCATCTGACCGCAGGCGCGTAGCCAGGGCCCCCCCCCCCCCCCAAAAAAAAAAAAAAAAAAAAAAAAAAAAACGCCGGCCAAAAAAAGAGAGGAAAGAAAAGGAAGAGGACGTACGAAGAAAAAGGAGCAGACACAAAACATATTTGAAATTCAGACAAGGATTAAGAGTCGAGAACGGTACAAAGAATCATCATCTTTCTCTAATAATTTAATGAAACGTAAAAGCTTTCGCGCTTTGCGCGGGAGGGGAAAACTGAATTCAGACAAGGATTAAGAGTCGAGAACGGTACAAAGAATCATCATCTTTCTCTAATAATTTAATGAAACGTAAAAGCTTTCGCGCTTTGCGCGGGAGGGGAAAACTGAATTCAAACGAGGATTAAGAGTCGAGAACAGTACAACACATCGTCTTCTTTGTCTAATGATTTAGTTAAACGTAAAAACTTCCGCGCTTTGCGCGGGAGGGCGCGGGGGGGGGGGGGGGGGTAAACTGAATTCAGACGAGGAATATTTTCGAGAACGGTACAACAAATCCTCTTCTTTCTCCTAATGATTTAATGAAACGTAAAAGCTTCCGCGTATCGCGCGGGAGTGGGGGGGGGGGAACTGAATTAAGACGAGGATTATTTTCGAGAACGGTACAACGAATCGTCTTCTCTCTCCTAATGATTTAATGAAACGTAAAAGCTTCCGCGCTTCACGCTTCAGGGTGTAAACAAAATTTCCGCAGTTTTTTTTTTTATTTGCACACACTTCGCTGTATCTTTTATCACACATTGTACATACATTCTGCACTGTACTTAACCACAGGGTTGAATCCAGCTGGCGGCGGGGGTGGGGGCCCAATTCGTGAAAAAATATTTAGCGGTGAATAATTGGGGGGGGGGGGGGGGAGGTAGTCAGCACGACAAAAGAAAAATTGAGCAACAACAACAACACTTAAAAACAAAAAAAATAACGTAATACCTCCCCCCACTCCTTTTCTTTTTGGGCCAGGGGAGGGGGCCCGCCCCCCCCCCCCTTTAACCACCACTGTCTAACCATTACAACAATACTAGGCGGTGGCCGGTACTGCAACTGAAGAAGAAGAAGAAGAAGAAGAAGAAGAAGAAGAAGAAGAAGAAGAAGAAGAAGAAGAAGATGACGATTAACGAGAAAATACCTCTTTTGGAACTTTTTGATAGAACTGACGGATTCCCGCACGAAAAGTTTTTTCCGATTTCTATTTTTCTCCCTCCCCTCCCCTTGATCCTATCCCCGTACCCTGACTAAGAGCGCCTCGAGACAGCCGATGGGAGATATTTCAATGAAAATAATGTTATTCATTGTCATTTACGTCAGTTATGTTTGTTTGTTGTTGTTATTTTCAGTGATCATAGAGTCAACGGAGGAAGCGCCGACCAAGCCTACGACGAGCCCTACGACTACGATGACGAAACGCTCAGACACAACGACTTCTCAAAACACCACTACCTCTGGTATGTCTAGGCAATGGTACCATGGAAGTGACGTCATGCATCTGATTATTATCATAATGGGTCTAGCCACTATATCCCCCTTCTCTCTTTCTCTCTCTCTCTCTCTCTCTCTCTCAGTCTTTAACTGACTCTATTGTTCTTTCCGTTCCTGTCACGGGCTTCGCTAAATTGTTATCAAGGGGGGGGGGGGAATGACCGTCTATTTCTTATTTTGTTCTAGTCTTGTTTTTCTTCGTTCTTCTTTCATTAGCGTCGCTAAAACACTTGATAAGGGGGCACTGCCCGTCAATTTTAGTATTTTATCTTTTTGCCTACAGGTTAACGACAACGTTCTTCTTGTTCTTCTCCCCTCTTTGCATGGCTCCTTCGTCGAATCATTTGATCATTTTTTAATTTTTTTAATTCCATTCAGAGTCGGTGACAGCAAAAACCAGAACAAAGTCCGAGCCGAGCACTACGGCCACGATGACGGAAAGGTCAGACGCAACGACATCGCAAGCAACCCCAACCTCCAGTAAGAGAAACATTAACATGACGTCCTGTATTTTTTAAAATAATGAGTCTAGCCACTATAACCCCCTTCTCTTTTTCTCTCTCTCTCGCATTCTCTCTCACTCTTCCTCTCTGTCTCTCTGTCTCACTCTCTCTCTCTTAGTCTTTATCTGATTTTTTAAAAGTCCTTTCCTATCGCTGGTGTCGGTAAAACATTTTTTAAAGGGGAAGTGACCGTCTAATTCTTTTTTCCTCGAGTTTAACAGCAGTTAAATGATTTGGCAAAATAAGACCCTTCGACTTTGTCAAAGCACCACTAAATCCAGTGTCCTGCTATACCTCATAAAATAAATAAACTGTTAAAGTTTATTTTAAAAAAATGTTCTTCGTTTTGGCCATCTATTCCTGTTGAGGTTTCATTCCTAATATTATGCCTTTGAACGTATGACTTCATTTTTGTATAAACGTTTCAGAGTCAGTGGAATCATCAACTACGGACGCGACGACCAAGGCAACGACTAGCTCTAGGACCACGGTGTCAGACACAACAAAATCGCAAGAAACCACCCCCTCCGGTAAGTAAGAGAGAAAATGAAATGATGTTATGCATTTGATTATATATGTTTAGCCACTTCCCCTAATCCACCCCCCTCTCTCTCTCTCTCTCCCTCTCTCTGTCTTTCTCTCTCTCTCTGTCTCTGTCTCTGTCTCTCTGTCTCTCTATCTCTCTGTGTTTCTTTCTTTCTATGTCTGTCTGTCTGTCTCTGTCTGTCTGTCTCCCTCTCTCTCCCCCCCCCCCCTCCTCCCCTCCTCTTTCATTCATAAAAATAAATATAACTGTAAGAAATAACATTGTGAATTTGCCAAAATCTGTAATGGTGAGCAAAGTATCTTTACATATTGATTATTAAAGCTTTAATTTTGTTCATGTCTTTGCATCTTTTTAAGTAACATTATTTTCGTTATCATTATTATTATTATTATATTCATCATATCATCGTCATTATATTATCTATATTTCTTTAAATATTTCAGTTACGACCCAAATAATCACTATGTTTACTTTCTTCAAATTGAGTAATTTACATATTGTATTTTCATCTTTTTAAGCATGCTCATCTTCTCCGATGGAATATGAATTCGGCGGGTCGTTCTACAATTTCAGCACTTGCAAGATCGATCAAGCTTCTGCGGTTTTAGCTTGTTCCCAATACGGATCCCATCTGGTCTTCATCGAGTCGCAGGAGGAAGAGGACTTCATCGCGCGGAGTCTTCAGCACAGATGGGACTACTGGATCGGGCTGACCGGCTCGAGTCTTAGTGAGGCAAAGTGGCTAGATGGATCGAATCTTACGTATAGCAATTTTGAAAGTGAATCGTTCAATGATAATGGAAACTGTTTTCGAATTATGGTTTGGTATCAAAATGTGGCTGATCGTTTGGATCTTTGGCAGGATAAGGATTGCTCCATACAATTAAGATTCATATGCGAGAAAGAAGTGGGGATATAAAAATTGGATTGGTTTCTTTCAATTGTTCATACCACCTGGTTGCACCACTGATTGCATCTGAACACCTAGATGGAGGCAAGTGAATACCCCCCCCCCCCCCTCCCACCAAAAAATACCAAAAAAATATACAGATCTTTAGGAATGTCGATTTTTTTTTTTTTTTTTGTAGTTCCATGCATTTATTTTTACACGAAGAGCACTTTAAAAAAAGAGTGTTAATAAGTGTTTAGTTATGATGTTTAAAAGACAGAGCACTTTTCATCTTTACATTCAAGCAATTTAAAAATAATCATATTGATGATGAGCATTAGTGGTGGTTTGTTCTTTTTGTGCTTTATAGAATCTCATTTTTATTGCCAAGAGACTTTTTTCAAACTTCATAGAAAAATAATAGTTAGTACTTCATGAATTGATGAAACGTCAAAGATATTTGATTACGACATAAAAGTGCAGTTTGTGTGGTAAAGTATTTATAGGGTCTATGATACAAATATACATATACTTACTTTTTTTAAATTTTAATTGTGGTAATTGGTGACCCCAAAAAGCTGACCGTACCCCCCCCCCCCCCCATGAAAGAAATATTGATCGGCCAAATTTTCAAATGTTGGGACCCCCAAAAAATATATATATGTCCTCTTACAGTCAATACTTTATCTTCCAAACTTAAGGTAAAACAAGAGATAATATAATGTAAGAAGCTCAGTTTATAAATCATTAACTATTTATACACTGCGTCCCATAACAAATTAAACTCGAAAACAAATAGATCTTGTGAATATTTACGACGTGTATAATAGGATTCCTTTTTCCATAGAGTAGAAGTGTAATGCTTTCCTATGATACATTGATTAAATCTAAACACCCTTCACTGAGCAACATTGTTTTGAAAATGCCATATTAACTTCCACTTGTGCCAGATTTGTGTGAAAGAGTAAAACCGTTAGTATTGTGGAAATATTGTCGATGGTGAGGGTACGAGGGTATATTTTAGTTCGTGAATGGGTATTTGTAATGAACAGTGTTTTTGCAATTTCAAAACTGCCATAGGTTTTTAAAAGAGCAAGTTAAACGATATTTAAAAAAACAAGAAACAATTTGATGGGCGCTTTATATTTTGATAATAATATTAATCGTACGAGTATTGTTGATTTTATTATTATTATCATTATTATCACAATTATTGTTATTATTATCATGACTATTGCTAGGACTGTTATTTTCCAAACTAATGATAATATTTGCCGTTAGTAAAGCTGATGTAAAAGTTAATCTGGAAACAATGGTGTTGCCCCTTTTACAGGATGATTTATTATCTAAAGTTATTGAAATAGTAGCATTAGTGAATAAATGTTTGTTTGACGTGCAATAATCTATTTTCAGTTTGTATCTTGTCAATTGTTTTTGTTTGAGTAAGAAGAAGAGAGATACACAGCACATAGGAAAGAGTGGAGAGGAGAAATTGAGAGAAGTTGTAAAGAAAGAAATATATAATTTAGTGAGAGAACTCGAAAGGAAGAGGTAAAGAGTGAGAGGATGTGAGGAGATATTGATTTAAAGTGAGAGAAATTTGTCATGAAAGAGATGTATGATATAGTGATATAATTTGAAAGGAAGACTCAGATAAAGATTACAAGAATAAGCGAAGGTGGTAAAGGGAGCGAATTGTTTAATGAAAGGGAGTGAGATCATTTAAAAGAGAGGAAAACAAAAGAGTGAGAGAATATCTTTTAAGACATAGAAATACAAAAAGGTAAATGGATTTGAATGGAAGGAGATGATGAAAGGAGAGACATTTTTAATTATGTATTTTAAAAATGATAATAAGCGGTATAAATGATTGAGAGAATTTAAATAGACGTGATGTACATATAAACTGAGAGAATGTGCGGATAAAAAAAATGAAATTAGAAAACTTCTTTTATCACGTTTTATACAACCCATCATCGGGAAAGGGTGATTAGTATTTTCTACTATGAACGGAAAGAAGCTTATACCTACGATTAGACTTAGTGAACAGCGCCTCCTATTGGCGAAGTCCCGCAGCATAATAATAAAGGGAATATGAAAAAAACATGGAGCGTTATCAATCAGGCTCTTGGTAAGCAGAATAAAAAATCTGTTATTAAATGTATTTAATGTAATGCAAAAAAAATTACAACTGATATGGAAATTTGTAATATATTGAATGAACATTTTGTAAACATCGGTCATAACTTGAACCTTTCTTTTTCTTCGTGCAATAATAATTTTAAAAATTATGTAATTCAAAATGATCAACTGCATTTTTTAAACCTATTACTAGTAAAGAAATTATAGATATTGTAGACAAACTTAAGCCTAATTCTAGTACAGGTTATGATGAAATAGATATTAAAGTAGTAAAACCGATTATACATAAGATAAGTGCACATCTCAGTGAAATATTCAACCAGTGCCTTAAATGTGGAGAATTTCCTACATCGTTAAAGATAGCTCGTGTAATACCCATTTTTAAAAGTGGTCCACCAGAAGTGATGTCTAATTATCGTCCAATTTCTGTTTTACCTGTTTTTTCCAAAATTTTTGAAAGGTGTATTTATACCAGACTTTTACATTTTATTACAAAGTGCAATATTATAAACAATAACCAGTATGGATTTAGAGCAGGACACTCAACATCTTCAGCTTTGATAGATTTTGTTCATAAAGTGGGAAGTGCAATAGATAATGAAGAAACAACAATTGGCTTATTTCTTGATCTCACTAAAGCGTTTGACACGCTTGACCATAGTATTTTGTTGGATAAATTGTATATGTATGGAATTAGGGGTATAACATTGAAAATATTAAAAAAATTATTTATCAAATCGAAAACAATTTGTTGCATTAAATAAAAATAAATCACAGTTACAGCTAATTAAATGTGGAGTGCCACAAGGTTCCATTCTTGGACCACTTTTATTTATTTTGTATATAAATGATATTGTCAATGCTTCAAAAATTTTAAAATGTATTCTGTTTGCAGATGACACCAGTATTTTCCTTTCACACAAAAACAAACATACTCTTGAAACTACATTTAATATTGAGATTGGATTAATTGTTCAATGGTTTTACGCTAATAAACTTTCCATTAATGAAAAGAAAACCAATTTTATGATTTTTACCAAAAAGAAACTAAATATAGACTCAATAACAATCAAACTAGAAAATGCAAACATTCAGAGAGTTTCTTCAGCAAAGTTTTTGGGTGTTATTATCGATGATAAGTTCTCCTGGTCTAATCATATTGGTGTCATCTGCAACAAATTATCTAAAAGTATTGGTGTCATGTACAGATTGAAATCTCTCCCTAAAATTATACTCAAAATGATATACTATGCAATTGTGTACCCTTACTTACATTATGCTATTATTGTATGGGGCAATGCTGCATTAATTTATCAAGATAGACTGTTTAAATTACAAAAACGTGCATTAAGAATTATTAATCATTCTTCTTTTCTTGCCCATACCAATCCAATATTTTACTCATTAAACATGTTGCAATATAGGGATGTATATTTATTACAAGTAGGTGTTCTTATGTATTTATGTCACCACAATCTTATCCCTGATTCTATTTCCAAATTGTTTATTTTAAACTGTAATGTTCATAGTTATAATACTAGAAATGCTAAACAATTTCACTTGCCATTGACTCGTACAGTACTAAACCAAAAAATAATTATTTTCCAAGGACCCTTTTTATGGAACACTCTTCCCCATTATATTCATATATCTGTTAGTGTAAATGTTTTTAAACGTAGGTATAAGAAATTTCTTTTAGATAAACTGCAATAATCATTTAAGTTCAAGACATATTTTATTTGTTTGTTGTATGTATGTTTGTTGTCTTGATTTGAGTATAGTATAATGTTTAGTAACGGATATATTTCATATTTGTTTATTATAAAAAAGGGTCAACCTTTATATAAGGATTATCTTTTTCCTTTCAGGTTGCAACCTATTCAGTTTACTTTATGTCCAAATGTCAAATATGTTCGTAATGTGTATTTTATGTTATATAGCTGGTTGTTATATGAAATGTTGTCTTTTTAAACTGAATGAAATAAAATTGAATTGAATTGAATTGAATTGAATGTGTTTGCCTATTGACTTATACAAACAAAATCATTAATTTTATTTATATATTTTTTATAACGAAAATCACATCAGCCTCCTTTTAAAGACCTTGACCGGAGCGTATACACAACCATACATCCACAGACGGCTAATGAAACACAAAATGCAAATACAAGAAAGAAAAAATTAAATACCCTTTCATTACTGAGAAAAATGAAAATTACAGTACAACTGCCGCCCCCTCCCAAATTTGCCTCGGTCAAGAGCCCCCGCGCCGCACGGACTTGGTTGACGTCATTCCGTGTAGACTCGAATTGTTTGCTATAATTCTTCGCCGCGCGATGTTCGAGATCTACATTGATTTTGCGTACCGTACCCTGCCCGGTTTCCGCCCGATGGGCAGTTTTTCTCAGATAACTTCTCTGAAAATGAATTATACAGGCGCTAATGTATACCAATTTGTTGCCGAAATTCTAGCAAATCTAGCTATGCCATTCTTACGCCCGAAATCATAAGCGATTGTCCGTAGCGCGCCGTCTGCGTGAGGCATTTTCCTTGCCTAATTCCGCCTAGACCCGCCCTAATTCCGCCCGATGGTGGGCGCGCATCAAAAGTATAGAAAAAGGAAACATCTCGGGTACACGTTAGGCCAAATCAAATTGCTTCCCAGTAGAATTCGATCTACATGTTATTTTGATAATTGATATTTCTTTCTTTATTTCTTCCCTTGCCTCTGTAGGCCTAATGCAAGTGCACTGTTATTTATCAGTTTCTGATCTGGAAAAACAATTTTTTACTGCCTTTGGAAAATCCTGCGACTTGTCTATGATGTTTTAATAATGTGTTCAGTCAAATCTTCAGTGTTCTATCGCTAATCGGGAGAGGGGAAGAAAAAAAAATCCACAATAACAACATTTTGTCAAAAAAAAACTACCACTATTAAAGTAAACACTTTGGAAAGAGAGTAATGGCACTTC